AACACACTTTGCCTCAATTTTTGTGCCACATTGATTTAAGAATTCAGTGCAACCTAACTCAAAGTTTCGTGTAATTGGGTTCTTTTTAGTAATTTAATGTCTGAATCTATTTACTACATCACAAATTTCTTGCAGTATTCTTATTAATGATTAGCACAATTTATATGTTATAGTGATATGCAGAACAAAGTATATTTAAACCCCTTGTAAATAAACCTCTTAGATTTTTCTTTATTTAGGCTACTATTATCATCAAGCACAACTTACTTCTAATGAAAACACTGCAAAAGCTCTTTATAAATTCTTTAAAATATGGCTGGAAGTACAGGAACCTCCTATTGCAGTAAGAATATTAGAATCACGGTATTGTCTTGTAAAGAGACTCTCTTAGATTTGGCCCGTTTTCTTAATAATCTTGCTCACTCATGATTAAGGAAAATTAAGTCAGTCTCCTCTGATGATTCTTCAGGTATCAAGAATTGAAACAGGAAACTGACAGTTCCTTCCTGCCAGCTTAGCATAAGACCTCAAATCCTGTTTCTTACTAGCACTGGATTAATTCTGAAACAAGTCATTAAGGCTTCAGGCAGCATGAGGCATGCACATGACATGAACTACACGACAGTCACAGAACTCTCTGAAGAGAATTAAGCTGATGGATTTTTGTCAGCAATAAACACCCTGCTTAGTGATATGGGAAGGTTCAAGTCACTGAAACATCCCACATCTCCACATCTAATAAGTACTTTGAAATTTTTATTTCTATCAAATAAATTCACTTTAAAATATATCCACTAAACAGATCAGTAGAGATTAGCAATAAGTAGTATTAACCTATTCCAAAGACCTATCTACTATTAAAAACCTTCTTTTACACACCAAAAGTACGTATTAACAGACCTTAAGCAAGTCAGTTACTTTTAAACATGGATTTTATGCAGAAAAAGTTGGCATTTATTTTACTTAAGATGCAGCAGATAAACATTTTAAAATATAGTTCTAGTAATTTTGTAAGCTCTTATTAAAAACAAATATTTTTAAATAATAAAGGTTTCTTTTTAGACTGGCAGCATAATTTATTCATTCTCTTTCAAATTAACTATGTCACTGTTTTCTAGTTTATGTATTAATGTATTACAGATTTTATACCAGCCTTAAACTCATAAAAAGTGTTAAATGGATGCCAGTGATAGGAACAGACTAGTTCCTGGGATCAAATCTTTGAACAACATCTAAAATCTACTTTTCTCTGATCATAACATCTATGCTGCAAGCATGGTCAAGTGTGGCTGTTAAGTTTGAAGGTTTGACTGAAAATACACTAGACTTCTCAGTGAGATTAATTATCTTCCTCCATTGCACATACACACACACATAACTGTTGACTATTCCCTGGTTTTCCAACAAATAACATTTACAGAAATTCACAGCATCCATGCTTCATTAGTTATATGATCACTTCTTCATAGATGACCAGGTTTGTTATTGCTATTCCTTGTATTTGAGGGTCTTCAATTTTAAAAGAATTTGCAGGAGTTAGTTCTCATATTAGTTTCTAAATAAGAAACTGCTGTGGCAAGGTAAATAATACTATGGAATGCTAAAAATACTAGTGATAACTTGAAACAACTGATACTGCTAAGGAACAAAAAGCTGATCAACTTTACAAAATTTTTACAGTTCTATTTGGACAGGCACTGCAACTATGAGTAAAGAACACAAACATGAGAGCCAAAACAAATCAAGCCCAGAATTCTTGTAAAACTTCATACCTTACTGTCTACATATTCATATTTCCTTCTCCTCTTCAACCATTTACTATCTCCTGACTACCCTTTCTTTGTAATATATTATAAACACATTAAAAGACACAGGCACATCTTCTTTCTGCTACTTTGTGAATATTTGAGTCAGCAGACTGCACCCTTGAGTATGTTAACTTAACATTCTGCCTTTTCTGAAGTACTACTGTGACTAGTGCTACAGTCCAGCCCCATAGGGAGTCACAAATGTCTTCTACTCATTTCACATATGTCAAAGTATAATATAGTCAGAAAATACAAAGCTATGGAATTTCAGATTATTAAGGAGCGCAGATCATAGAAAAAGAATATCCCAGGTTACTCCTTCACCACACAGATGATTATCAGGTAAGAATGTGTGAAAGGGGATAAATGCACAAAATTGTGCACTAATTGATAAGTGCCTTGCTAATAAAAATCAAAACTACTTTACTGTTGATCTAATGACTAGACAGCATACAGCTGATTCCCTCAAAAAAATTAGCACTGAGTTTGATGGGACAGGTTTGTCAGGTTTTAATGTATTTGGTAGGTTGGTTTTTTTTAAAAAAAAAAAGGTACTAGTGCAGTCAAGGAAAAACTACTTGGTTTTTAACACAGACAATTCAATCAAAACTGACAACATGCTAGATTTCTAAACAACTGGAACAAAATAACATGCTGAGCTATATAGGCTAAGTCAAATGGGAAGTTCCTCTGTTCTCCTCTTTTTTATGCTCATCTCTGCTCTCAGCTTTACCCACCTCTCACCTTGACACAACCCTAGTCATTCTCACTTTTTGCAGTACTCACCTCAACCCAAAAACACAGGAAGCATTTTTACCTCTGCAGCAGTTTGGTTTACTCACAGTTTAGCATGCTGAACCAGACCAATTAAGTGTCTGATGGTCAAGCGCAGGAAAAAGGAAGCAAACCCAGACACAGAGGAAGACAAGGAAAGAAATCATTTACTTCTTAGCCTTTTTCTCAAGGCTGGAGCAGTGAGAAGGGCAAGGAGTCCTTCTCTGTGCAGCAGGCTTTTAGATAGGCTTAACTATAGCAGCTTTTAGCAGTACAGACATTTCAGAATTCTTTAGTTTTCAGAAGAATAACTCAAGAACAATTATTTGATTATACAGCATTAACTTAACAATTCCATACAATACCCAAAGCAACAGTAAGTAGTACATCTTTCACTTCCCAAAACTCTGTCAGAGAGTAGCATTTAATCTCTTCATGAAGTCAGACCTCTTCACCTATAATTTATATACAAATCAATGCCTTCCCTTTTCAGTGTTTTCTTCTCTACTTAAAATTTTACAAACACAGAGGAAGAGTCATATATAAATTTATCCAGTTGACTGATACAGATCTGTAACAGTATTTAAATATATCTTGCAACTGTAACTACTAGTCCCCAAAACACTACCTAATAATATAATTTCTTTTTTTTCTCTGGCCTTTAGGGTTGTGATAAACCATTGTAAAAGAAGCAGTTCCACTCTTCCTCTCACCTTCCTAGGAATTAAAAATGTTCCAAGTCTTTCAGATACTTCATATATACATGCAGTCTAACAATATACATCCTGTCTATACATCCTAAGTTTGCCTGTATGTATATTCAGTATTTTGACATGCCATCTGAGTAAACACCATACACCATGCCTCTCTGATTAACTCTTCTACCAAAAGAAAATTTGTCCAGATTAATGCTGTACTACTAGTCATCCATCTAGTAGAAACAGATGTCACAGAAACAAACTGTTGTTTGTTGTCAGAAACAAACTGTTAAACTGTCGCAGCTTATATTGTTTTGGTTTTTCTATTGCATTTAGTTTGGAAAAAGAAGAGGCAGTTATTAGAACACCAAGTGATAGTTTGAATACACTAAGGGAAAGGCAACTATAAAGATATTAAAGATATTATATATCTTTAATGGGCAAGTAAGATTTTAGAGTAGAAAGCTTTGGAAGAAAATAACCCAGCTGCGTCAGCTTGGTGTTTTACTATATTAGCTTCCTAAAATAATGTAAATATATTAAGTTTGTCAAATACCTGTTTTTATCTCTTTACATTCATAGCCCACATCACATGGAATTAGTCTTATTTATGTCACCCGTACCACAAAAATAAGATGCCTTTTACAATCCCCCATTTATTCACCTGTTATCATCTAACAAAGTTAATCCCCCCAAACCTTTAAAGAAGTATCAATTGTAACAGAGCATCCAGAATGAAGTGCAAGATGTGAACTAGCTCTCGAAGTGCTAGCAGTGATTCACACACCATACTTGGTATTGCTGCTGCAACACGCTTCGGAAAAAGGAAGTGTTAAGAGCCACAAGAATTACTGCTTTCCCAGCAGTGCCTTGTCATGCAAGTGAAGAATCACTCATTTTCCCAGCAACACTGTCAGAGAAATACTACTGTCCCTGCATAAGGGGCTGTCCTGAGCAGACCCTCACTCACGATGCCCGAGCTCCACCTCCGGTTTGATTCTACTCCCCTAGGAGACTTCAGGAACGAGGCCTAGCAAGAAGCAAGGCTGCGAACACGACGGCATCTCGTAGCACACACCTACTTAACCCTAAACGCTATATCTGATGCAAAAGCACATGGCTGCACAAACACCTGGAGCAAGGCAGGTAAAATTGTGCTCTTCTCCACAGTCCGAATCTTGCCTCTTAGCCCTCTCTCTAGTGTGCTCCAACAGCAGTTAGTTTTTAAGACAGCCTAATGGTTGGATTTGATGATCTGATCTTCAATGTCTCTTCCAACCTAAACGATTGAATCTACATATTTTCCCCGTTTGTTAAACCGCCGTGGCGGCGCTGCTTCCGCCCGCTTCCTGTCGCAGACGGGTGGCGGACTGACCGCCCCACACCGCCCCGGGCAGGCGCCGCGCCCGACCGCGGGCTGCTCTGCTCCCCCGGCTGGAGCCGTCCATGAGTACTTCCTCCTTTCGGCCAGCGGCGCTGACTAATGGAAACAAAGAGAAACAGGCTCTCAGCCACCCCAGGCGCCAGACTTTCGCCCTTGCCCGAAGCGCACTTCTACACCTGGACAGGTAGCCCGGCATCGCTCGCTGCAGAGAGGCGATGCGGCCCCTCCGCAGTATTCGGGGACTCTCCGTCGGCCCTCCACAGACCCGCTTCTCCGCACGCAAAGAGCCGACGCTCTCTTTACGCGTTGATCACCGGCGCTTCACCACTCTCTCACCAGTGCCCCGGTCTCTCTCGTCACCGTCATCTTCCTCCTCTCGCTGCTGCCCATCCCGCTGCCGCTCCTCGCCCTGCGCCTCCACCGGCACCACGGTGAAGCTCGTCGGCATGCTGCAGACGGCCCCAGACCCACTCGCGCCTCCTCCTAGGGCAGCGGGCAGGGTGAGCCGAGCGCTGCCGCTTCGCTCACGTGAGAGCCATTTCCTCACGCAGCGCGGGGGCGGTGGCCGGCACCGCGCCACTTCCCCCTCACCGCTTGACTGACGGCGCTGCGGCCGTAACTCCGGGCTTGAGGAGGGGAGGGGCTTTTGGGCTCTGGGGCATCCCCTCTTCCTCAAACCTTGGTTTACAGTTATCCTTGCAGCGCTAAGACCACCAGGCTGCTGCTTCTCTGATCCCACCAGACAAAAACTGCCTTCCAAATTAAACCAGAGCCAGGCTGTAGGACCTTAATCCTCCAGATCACTGAAGGGATGATAGTATCCACAAGGCCTAAGCAGGGGATTTGTGGTCACCTTTTGGACAAGTGGAGAAAGGTCACTGTGTGCCTTTGGACTAGCAGGACATAAAGATGGCTCCCAGAAATCTGCTCTCCTATGCAGCAGCCATGGTTTGCAGTAGATGGGTGAAGGTCTGGAGTCAGCATTTAAACTCTGACCAGCAGTGAAGCAGATTCAAAGAGTCAGTGGATGAGCAGTGTACCAAATTAAATATTAATGATGTAGCACCAGTGATGAGATATAGCTCTTGGTTACCTCCAACTTCCATCTCAAAGGAGGTTGTAGCATCTCCACTCCAAAAATAGAGAAAACAGATTTAGAAGCCAAGGGCATTTCTCTTGTTTCTTGTTCTTCTAGCAAAGTGCTAAGAATAAATCAGAAAGACTATTCATTCAGTCTGTATATGTGTCTTTTAGAAGAGGACTGGTAGTTTTGTGGCTCCTATACTTCATTGGGATGGAAGATGTATATGTAACACTACAGTCTGTCCCACAGCATAAAGTCCTTCAGAGAAGGGGGTAGGTAAAATTATTCTGGCCATCAAAGGTGGCAGTGAGATGGCAGGTGTGGAGATGATTGGTGTGAAAAACAGAATTTACTGAACCAGAATTCAGTGAAAAACAGAATTCCCTGAAAAACAGAATTCACAATCCTTCCTCTTTGTTTTTCTTATTGTACTTGTCTTGAGCTACAACTTTTGCACTTCTGTACTTTTGGCATACTAATACTTTTCATAGATCTTAATTGCCTTGTTTTCATCATTTTTTTCTTTTCTCAATACCATAATTTTCTGCTTTCATCCTGTGGTTCCCGACTTTGGATTGGTGGGTACTGTCACTATTTGGATGTTTTGGACTACCTAAGTGATTAATTGAATAAAGCATGGGATCAAACATGGAATAAAGATTGATCTGTTATTCTGCATAGCACTACAAATCCGGCCCTCTTCCACTAGAACATTCAAAAAAAAATCTTCCAACCATCCTTTATTTATTATAGATTCCCATTTTTGGACTGGCACATCAGCTATTTTCCAAATGTTTGTGGCTATATTCAAAACTGCATCCCCATTATCATCAATTTGTAGACAACAATCGGATGTGTTAAACCCCTTCCTTTTCTGCTAACAGAATAGTCTAGTGCTAACCAATTTTGATGCACTGCAGCTCTGGTTTGCCTTTGCTGTTTGACTATTAATTCTATGGCCCCTGCTGTTTCATTAGATATGATTTCTACAACTACTTGTAGTCTTATGATGCGATTCAACATATAAATTGGGGTTTGATATCTCCAACTCCCATCTTGTGTCCAGGTGGCTGTACCATATGTCTGTATTATCCATTCAGTTGGCCACTCTTCACCACCCCACTTGTGCTATCCTGCAATTCCTCCAATTAGTTCAATCTTCTTTCTTTTTAAGGCACCGTAGACCAGTATTCCCAGATCATCTCCATCTTGGCTTGGCAACAGAAAAAATACTGGTTGTATAATTCCCAGAGTCCAACTTCCTATCCATAGGAAAGGAAGTTCTGAATAAGCCCTTTTCCCACATATCCAAAATAAGCCATCCAGTGCTTTCCAGTATTTGTTCCTTTGGTTATTCATATTTTCCTAAAATTTAGACATTTCAAGTGTTATAAATGAAAAATGAAAAATAGCCAATTTTAATAAAAAAATTAAAAATAAAATTTATTACGCGACCGTAATACAGCCCCGACTGCCACCAATCAAATCAGCCAGCATAACACCCCTGGTCGGTGATACGGGTGAACGTGAGATTAGACTTGCTAGACCAATGACTTCACATCCACACAGGCTGCTCCGAGGCAGCAGTTCTTATACAGTTTATTTGGCCCGCGGCAGAGTGTCTTTGTTTCCTTCTGAGTCCTTCATATTCAAGTTGGTTTCTTCCTCGATTCCCAGAATCTGGCATTCAGATGGAAGGTGTTGATGGCCCTGGTCCTCTCAGATGAGTATCTTGTCTGGGCCATCATCGCTTGAGCCATCACTGGGTGCAGGTCCTTGTGAATGCCCATCTCCTGTGCAGCCGATGTTCCTTCACATGCAAATGAGGTGGTGCCTCTGGTTTTGCCATCCTGGGGAAGAATCTCCCCCCCCTTGTACCTATATATTTTGATACACCTTTTATTCCCACGAATTACTACCCATATCTATAACACAGGGATCCCATAATAGGGATTTTTCCCAGAGTCATTGCACCAGAAAAGTTTAATTCCCTTTTCATACTTACAATTCTTTTTCCTCTCCTGGGTCCAATATTGGGATATTGGTCCAGGGATCCACCATGTAAAAGTTCCATTAAAACTTTATATCTTTTACAAGAGGTCCTACATTGTCTGAAAATTCTCTTTCCATAGGCCAGAGGCACTCCTCTCCAACTATTTCTGAACTTAACATCCACCCCTCTGTCTGATTTTCCCCTTTTATTTTGGTTCGGTTCCATTTGAGAAGTTCAACTGGGCCTAGGCCACTATCCTTCCATGACCATTCTTCCAATATTAAAGCTCCCCCACAAACCCAACAGCTGGTCACATTTAGCTCCCTGCTGATCCTTTTCCCAGATCTACAAAGTTTTCCCCTGACTTTGATACTTCTATTTCATTTTCCAGTTGTTGTCTGAGTTTTACATATAAACTTCCATATGGAATTGGCTTCAGAGTGGTGGGTTGCTGTGTCTGTTTTCTTTGTTTGTTTATCCTTATTCATTCCTGTATTAAAACTTGTATCAAATCTTATTCCTTTTTCCAGTCTCAGGTTTGACTCGTGGGGAAACAAACCCATTTGTCTCCTTGTGGGCACCCCTGTTTTGACCCTACAGTTTTGGTAACTTTATACGTTCGGTCATTTTGTATGCAGGTGTCTACCTGAGAGGAGTTATAGCAGTGGTGGCTAATGAAGGTATGAAAGCTAAAGTAAGAACCTTGGGTTTTCCCATGATATAGTGGTCTGTAGCATTTGTGGCAGGGATAATCTGGATTCCCAAATGTGACATGACTAATAAGGAGTAACAGAAGCCCAGTATAATGTGTACCCCCACCTGCCATGCCTGATGAGGTTGCTGCCCACAGTATGTGGACGTGAGTGGTGGCAAGTATAGTGGTTAATCTGGTCTTGCATTCTGGTTTCCGTATCCCAAAATTACCTATGTCACCTGCTTTTCTCATATTGTGATTCTCTGTAACTCCTTAAATAGTAAGCCCTTATTAAGTTCACTCTTGGAATAGGGTCTTATTATCTCCCCATCGTATAGAGTAATTGCCTGCATTCAAAATATGGTGTCTGTTTTTTATTTACTATAGCCTCCCACTCAGCTTCTAATAGCTAGCGAATATCAGGGATCATCCACTCAACTCCACAACAAAGTGTTAGAATTGGTACCTGCCCTCAATTAGTGTTGGAACTTTTCCCTTTATCTTGACTCATTTTGTAACATGCTTGCTGCCTGGGTGAGCTACCGCGCCAGAGCTGGCCACAATTTTCACACTGACATTGTACCCAACTTGAGTGTCTCATTCCAGGGTGCTTTAAGCAGGGTATCTGATCAGGAAAAAATGTGGGAGGTGTCCCAGCAGAGAAGGTTAATAGTTGTTCTTTCTGCATGTCACAGGCAAAAGTGAAAACTCTAGGCTTGCCTATGGACCCGGTGTGTATATACCTGATACCCCCGATTGGGGAGGTAGCAAACCACTGTCCTGGAGTTTGGAAAGCTTCTGGCCTTTGTGAATACAAAAGAATCTATAAAGCTCACGGGGAACTCCCTCCCAGTCTGGACTGATGCGCGGTTGCTCATGGTTTACGTGCCACATTGAGCTTCTGCATTCCATTTTAAAATAATTTTCAGTCCTTCTGTGGAAGTGATGACTTTCTAGTCACAGAGTTCCCTTACTGGTCCTTTTATCCTGCTAGCATGAGTCCATCCTCATTCTGCAGTTCATACAGTTCATTCAGTCGTTAGCAGCACCTGAAAAGGGCCTTCCCAGTTGGGGGTTAGAGGTTGGTCTTTCCATGATTTCACCATTACTCAGTCCCCAGGAATAACGCTATGAATTTTGAAATCTAGGGTAGCAGTCTGAAGGATTCTTCCCTTTCCCCAGAGTTCCTCTAAAGTTTGTGCTATGGACAGGACGTATTTCTTGATACCATCCTCTTCTTCCTCATAAGTGGCCATGCTATTGGGTGAAGTCAAAAGGTGTAGACCAAATATCATTTCATAAGATGAAACTTTTAAGTCTGATCTAGACTGTGTTCTAACTCTTAACAAGGCTAGGGGTAGGCACTTGATCCATGACATTTGGACTTCAATCATAAGCTTTGATAGAGTTCTCATGAGAGTTTGATTCATCCTTTCAACCTGCCCTGAACTCTGTGGATGCCATGGAGTATGTAATTTCCACTTTATACCCAAAGATTGCTGTAGTATTTTTGAGATAAAATGTGTCCCTCTGTCTGAGTCAATGTGATTTACCATTCCATACTGGGGAATTATGAATTCCAGAAGAATTTTGCATACCACATTGGCAGTAGCTTTAACTACTGGCACCACCTCTACCCAATGGGTTAAATGATCTACTATTACCAACAAAAATTTCTACCGTTTCACCTGGGGGAGTTCAGTGAAATCTACTTGAATGCTTTGAAAGGGTCGTAAGGCTAATTCTTGTCCTCCTTGGCAAGCTTTCCCCATGACTTTTCTGTTTACCTTCTGGCATATCGCACATTTTTCAGTTATTTGTTTAGCTATTCTATACATTCCTATATAGCACCAGTTTCTCAAGAACTGATCACTCTTGGGTACCCCAGTGAGTTTTATCATGCATGCTTTCTAATATTTTCCTGGCCAATGGTTTCTTTAAAAGCTGCCTCCCATCAGATAACACCCACTTCCCTTCAGTGTTCTTTTTTGTTCCTATTCTAAGCAGAGCCTCTTCTCCAGTTTTACTGAGTACTGGTACATCCTGAATTTCTCCAGTAGGGGTCAGTACCATCATCACTTTGTCTTCCCCTGGCCTCGGCTGCATTTTTAGCTTCTAAATCTGCTAAATCTCTTAATTCTAAAGTGGTCCCTTTCTGATACCCCTGAATATGCATAATAGCAATTTCCTCTGGCAACTGTAAGACTTCTAAAACATCTGAGATGAGTCTTTCATGAATTGGTTTTTTCCCTTTAGAATTTAACAATCCTCTTCCCATATTTTCCCAAATGTATGCACCACCCTGAAGGTGTACTTGGAGTCAGTATATACAGTCCCCCTCTCTTTTGTCAATATCTCAACGGCTCATTTCAAGGCTTACAATTCACATGCTTGAGCTGACCAATGTGGGGGGGGGGGGAGCCTTCTCTTTTCCATGGTCCCTAATCCTTCATCTACTATAGCTGTCCTAACATTCGCTTCCCCTGAACCACCCTTGAGGATCTGTCAATGTAAAATTGTTTCCCCCCATGCTGGGGGTGGTCTGTCAAATCCTCTGTCAATTTGTTCTGGTAGTTAGTCACTTCTACGAATTATGTTCTAGTTCCTCTACTGATTCCCCATACAAAAACTGGGCAGGATTGAGTTGCTTATCTGTAATTAGTTCTAGGTCATCTTTGTCTATCAAAAAAATTGCTTCATCTGTTAGCACTCAAGAATCAGTGAACCACTTTTCATCTTTCTGTTCAGAATATTTCTAACTGCATGGGGGGTGTGAACTTTTAATTTCCCCACAAAAGTCTACTTTCTTCTACCAATAGGACAGTGGAGGCTACTACCTCGATAAAGGTTAGCCACCCTCTACTACA